GAGGCTGTTGGATTGGGCGGAGAAGTCATAGAGTACAAAGTCTTGAGACCCAGATAAATCCGTTATGACTTTTTCATTTGATGTGACAACCATCGTCAGAAAGAAAAGTCATCATTTACGAAAATCTTACTCACAATAATCCGTGGCCTGCTCTGATCATAATACTTCACACTACCTAATTAGTAATCTTATAATGACCTTTTATGAGTAAACCAGTTAGTTCAGGCCTAATCAACATGTTTGCAGATGAGTTAAGCGGATGTGGTGATAGCTCTCGCTTTACACAATCAAAGCATCATTTACTCCCTCAGTAATTTCGCACCTTTAGAGATGTACTCAGTAATAGTATTTAGTTGAAACATGTAAGTTTTAAATCAAATATTCTTACGACTTTGTTAAGTTAGTGGATGGACAGTCGATAGAAAGGGGCGATTTACTTGTAAGTTTTGATGTAGCGTCTATGTACACTAATATTCAGATAAGTGGGGTAATGCAGACTTTAATGTCAACATTATATTTTGGAATACTGAGATCGTATAGGTAAAAGTGAAGTAAATAGTCAGATTTATGAATTTATTAAGTAGTACGTAGTTTAACTTCAACGGTTATTTTATACGCAAAAACACGAGGTTAAGATAGAGGATCGCGTTTAGCTTGAATTTGAGCAGACAATTAAATGACACATTTTAGTTTAAAAGTAGGTTTTATGGACTACCAGTGACTCAAGAGAACTCGTATAATTATAGTATAGTGGTTAATGTATCAAGAATATACGCTGCACTATCACGGTTCGAGTCCAACTGGGATCTGATGAGAACCAGGCGAGGTTGAAACTGCAGCACAGCCTGGATGAGAATACCTTTTAGGAAGCAAGGCTATATGAAAGTGAATGCCTACTTATATGTTTTTGAGAAAATATAAATACCCTTCCTTCATGATCTTAAATTAAATATGCTAATTACAGTTGGTATATCAGATCTACTTGTAGTCTCGAAGACCTGTGTATAAACGAATAATGAGCATAAAATAGCCAACCTAATCAGGAGATGCCTAATTTAGATAGGGAAATTTGGCACAATAAATAAGTGTGTTTACAGCCGGTTATTTTTTCTTGCATTTACTATGAAGAGGCGTGCTTATTTGTTTACAATTGTTGAGTGAATTTCCATTTTACTTGAGTGCGGGATAATTGTTCGAAGGTGAATCCCACTAGAAGACGACGATGTATTTCTCTTGGTCAGCTGCCGTTTGGCTTTACTGGGATATCCAGAGTGACACTTTTCTACAGGCAATTTCCTCCGATTTTCATGTGCACTTGTTAAACTTTCGTAGCTCATTTGACGGAAATAATCAGGTTTTGACTCATCAGAATGAATTAGTTGTAGGGATTAAACCATAATCGGTTAATTTTGGTCATACTATAGACGAATTCACAGGAAGCTTAGGAGATCGCCTCGGTTACAGCCCAAACCAAAATATTCCAGTACGGTCAAGCGAAAGCTGGTCAAATGGAATACGCAAACATATTCTGGTGGTATATACCTTCGAATGTCTCCATTAAATACTTTTCTCGAACTAGATGCTGGCTCAAGGCTGTTCGTTGGTTTAGTCTAATGCTATGTTTTCTTACAAGATTATTTTTATCCTTGACGAGGTCTGCCCTGCAAGAACAGAATAAATTTCCACATGGAACCATCTGAATCGTAGGACTGTTAACTGAGGCCTTCTTTACAGTTAAATCTCCTCCACTCCGAAGCAATTCTCACTCGGCTTCCGGTGAATCCAATTCCTGAATTCTTTTCAACCAACTGGGTACTCGAAATTACAATGCGAGTCACAAGCGAATGCGATTGTCATGGGGTTACTTTTTGAAAGCATTGAAAAATATGAAAACACACCATTGAAGCTTCATTTATTTTGTATAGATGAACAGAAGGGCTTGGTAAATTGGTCCCATCACGAACTGAATGAGATCGTCTTAATGTTGAAATTAGGGAAAAAGTACTCGATACATCACGACATAGATCCATAAGAGTTGAGATTTTTTTGTCCAACAGGGATAATGATCAGAGCCTAGAACCATATTTTTAGAAGAATTATCCAACGATAAACCAAAATTTGTGGCCGGCTGTGATTCTATCTTCTTTTTAAAACTCAGGTTTGCGAAATTGATAGAGCCTTCCACTATCTGAGCACAAACTTAGTCAGCCTAGATCGTTTGAAGTGATTTATGCAGTGATAGTTGAGTTTTTGCCATGATGAAGTAAGTAGTCCTAATAATGCAATTGAATTTTACGTAGTTTTGTATAGAAGTTATTTGACCTTATTTTGGCAAATTGGTTATATTGATAGGAAGACCTAGAGGAACGCACCTATTCCGGAGTCCAGAGTATGCATGATAATTTCTAGAGTCAGACTGTGGACTTAATACATTCCAAATGATCATGCATACAATGGACTCCAGGCTAGGTACGTTCCTCGAAGTCTTCGTACCAATATGACCAAGTTGCGAAAACAAGGTCAGACAACTTCTATACAACGAAAGGAAACCGCGACCCTACAAAAAGCCATATCATCCAGGGTCTCTATATCTCCAAGCTTAA